ACCTGCATATACACACACCAGTGGATGAACACTCAGCACTTTTATTGCCATTTGGTCCCATTACGTTTTTAAGATGCATTCATGTTGTGTGTGTTGTTTAGCCTAATAGGCCAGTGCAAAAGACACGTTTAATGTTAATGCAAATCTAATGGCCGATAAATTAATCAGAATCTGAATCAAACGTACAGAAATAAGGAGGGAATAATTCATCAAAATGCTGAAAAATATTTAAAAACAATGAAATTGGCCGAATATACAGTGTTATCCCCCTATAAGTGCTCACATTAACACTACTCTGAGTGTCCATACATATTTAATACACACTTATATGAATGATGGGGGCTGAAATAATCAAAATCTTTATAAAAAGGTTTAAATTATTTTAGGTATTGATAATCATCAATTTATCAATACAGCAAATGTATAAGTGCATCCTACCAACAACAATTTGTATTACCGATTGCTTAATAGTAAATCAGTTAGACAGAATAATGTATAACATGATTTCAGGATGATTGCACTAAAGGTTGGTGTACTTTGATATTTGGCAGCACTCCTTTCAACCTTCGCTCTGTTTACAAGTGTCTTTGTCTCTTCATGCCAGCTTCTGTAATCCCCTTAGACACACCACGTGGAGACTGCCTGTTATGCAAAGACAGGAAGGAGACGTTATAAGGGCTGAGCAGCCTGTCCTGCATCAGATAACTAAGCACAGGTTGAAGTGTCCACACACACCCGGACAGACCCACTATACGTGGGATTCCTGTCCTGGGAGTCCAGGAAGAGGAGCTTGACAGAGAAAGAGAGAGCCAAGTGTTTTCTGCCCTTTCAACTCATTTCTGATTTGACAGGAAAACAATCGTGGAACGCTCCAAAATGTTTTTCAGAGTCCCCAGATTGACTCCGGGCTACATCCGGCTGCTGCAGGTGAGTTTGAGCAGTGTTATTCGTAAGATAAATTGACACTGCTTTGAATCTCTCAATGCAACTTTGTCATAAAGGGGAAAAAGATCAAGTAGATACTATAGCCGCCCACGGGATGTTTTGATGTGCTGTGATTTTTTTACTCTAAGATGCACACTGTAGTGATTGCCTGATAGCAGTCACATAAAGTGCTGAGTCAGTAGTAGCTTGCCAATGATCTAAGAAGCAAAGTGGATGCACTTTATTACAGTGTTTCTGCACCAAGCAACTTGTTTTGATTTAAGAGTTTTGATTTTACACGGTGCTTGACGTTTTCTGACTCTAATGGCCCTTGAGGAGTAGAAGGAGGGGCAGATGAAATAACTTTGACAGTTCTGAGAGCAGCCATTGATGTAATGAAGTGAATTCAAGGTGCTGGTTTTATGGGCACGTTTAGGAGTTTATAGACGGAGACAGAGCACATAGTAAGTAGGTTTCGCTAAGCCTTATGTTACCATTATGCAGCAATTCTTTCAGTCGAGTGTCTCAACAGATTGTTGTGACAAGATGATGAAATGCATTACTTTCATATCATATAACCATCATCCACAAATACGGGTTGCTTCCAGGCTTCTGTTCCAGTGTGCTTTTGTTTTTTCTCACTAAACACAATCACCTTTTTGTGGTGTTTATCACAAACAATGGAGAAATCCTAGCTGGTGACAGGCCATTGCATTGTAATTGGGAATGGTAACCGGATGAGCGAGCCCCATGAATGGCTTTTTAACTGTCTATGACACAGCTTCATTTGAAACTAAATGAGGTTTCTATCATTTGCTCTTCATAATTATCAAGGGACCACTGAAGAAATTGCTCATGTCGCAAAATAGACAAACCATTTGTTTGTCAAAAGAGACAGACCGCAATTTGGTAAATGGGAAAAGATGAGTTTTTATTCTCTGTGGGATTAATGTAGGGGTTAGATGAGACAGGGAGCTGAGGTGAACCCAGTTATTTTATGCCCAGAAATGTTGGCGGGCATGTTGTCCTCCTTGCTTTATAAGCCTTACATTGATCTGAATCCATGCCGAATCATAACTTATCATCATTGTTAGAAAAGGAGTAATGTTATTTCTGAACTGCTTTGATCTCGTCTTTCATATTATAAAAATACCAAATAAATCCAACATTCTTCTGATCATATTTCACCTTCTATTTTCTCCTCTTTCAGACCCAGGCCTATCATAATGTCGCTGTGGCACCCCCCGCTGAGAGGTCCATGCCGGGCATGGCGATGCTGCTGGGGGCCGTGGGGATCGGCTTGTGCGGCTACAGCGCCAGGCAGTTAGCCCTCTACCACCGGCCCTCCTCCAGAGTGCTGCAGTGGGTTGGTACCCACACTGATGCCAGCATGGTGGGCAATAGGATCCCCCTCCTGGACGTCAATCGCCGGGGCGGTGCCTGCCAGGAGATCCCACCTCCCTCCTTTGTAGGACAGAAAGTCTTCTTGAAATAATAACCTTTGCTTGCTAGGTTTCATAGAATAACCAACGTCATAGGTTGAGCTCCAGTAACTACACTTATGCACGATGAAAGATTGTAGCTATGCTGGCCCCAAGTGTGGCCCATGTGCTCTCTGACGAAGTGCAAGTGTCGATATTAGCCTGACCTCAACCGTGATGTTTACGGAAAGTTGAACGTCTTCTAGTCATGATGAATTCTGTAATACAAAATATAGAAATAGTTGACATTGATGGTATCAATTACTCACTAATATTAGAGTCTTTAATACACTGAGAGGGCATGAACGAATATGTAATGATGCTGGAACTTCCCAAAAACTGAATGTAGCTTGAAGAAGCCACCATGTTTAATTTGAAGACATTGTGTGTCTTATTGAGGCCTGGTGTAAAAATAGTCTGTTGCTTGGCAGTGCCCTCTGTACACAGATGGTTGGCAACTCCATCTATGTGTGTGTGTGTGTGTGTGTGTGTGTGTGTGTGTGTGTGTGTGTGTGTGTGCGTGCGTGCGTGTGTGTCCACCCACCCTTCACTCCCCAGGCAGAGAGCCATGTGTAAGTGCTCGGGCACCCCATCTATGCCCAAGTCTTTCACTTATTTCTTCTGAGGAGAAGCAGGTGCCATCCATCAACAGGCCTCAGCTTTTGTTGGCGCGTTCTGGCCATGGGCTGTCAATCATGAGATGCTGTGTTGGACATGAATGAGCGATTTTCTGTGTTCCGAAAAATGAAATCCCCCCCAAATGGTTTGGTCAGGGTGGATTGAAAATAGAAGAGTGGATGCACAGTTTTGTGGATTGAAAATAGTTATTTGAGATACCTGAGTCTGTCATGTAAACATTACTTTCACAGCAGCACAAATACACCTTACTGGATTATGAGACTTTATTTACTTGCGGATGGCAGGCAGGCAATGCACTACAGTATGATTCCTCCTGGATAAGCCTGTGTTCTCTCCAGGGATTAACCCAGGTGGAAAATCATTCCTGGCACACATACTCTTTAGCCTAATCTGGAATTAGAGACAATGACCCGTGAAAGTCAGACAGTCCCTGTGCGTCCCAGCTTTGTACCATTCCCCCTGCAGCGTCCACCATTCTTCTCATTGCCATACTAGCTGTATTTATTATAGGATTGGTGTTTCCTTTTGTGTTAACACCAAAATTGAAGTAGTGCAAAGGGCACTTGAGATTTGGCGTGACGCTGAGTGTGGTTGAGAATGCGTGCTGTGCCTTATGGAGAGCACAGGTTCATACTGTCATTATCGTGAATTTGAATATTTGAAAATCTACCCCATGTAGATTTTGTGTTTGTTATGCTGGGGGTGTCAGTGCGAAGTTTTCAAAGGGGGGAGTTTTATTTTTTAAGAAGGATTCTGGAAATCGCGAATAAGGAGGATGGTGATTTTTTTTGTCTTGGTGATTAAATTAAGTGTTTCATCCCTTAGAGGTCAGCCAGGCCCTGCAATCCAATGCTCCATTGTTTAAAAGCCATCCTTGCCCGCCTGCCAAATTGACCAGCGGCTAGTTGTGGCAGGTTGGGAGCTTTTAGAGCCCCAATAGTGGCCCTCCAGAAACCTAGCACAGTAGGTCACTAACAAAATGGTTTTAAGCCACTTACCAGAGGAGGCTAATGGCTCCAACTGGCATCAGACACCGAATGAACAATTGGTCACCTTGCTCTGGACAGAAACTGACAATTTCATAATGGGATTTTGATGGTCTCAAAACAACAGGATACTCTTTGATACCATATACACCTGAAGTAAAAATGCAGGGTAAATTGGGACTTTTATGACAGACAGATTCAGATAGATGTGCTGTATGACTCCATTAATCTTGACCTGTTCTTTAAACCAAAACTAAAAGTATCTGTGACGCCAGCACAAACTGCATTTGATGGTCCTTTTCAGGCATTGGAGGCTTTGTAATGCACCTGGCTGCTTCTGATTGATTCTCTTTATATACTGCAGTGGTGCACAGTGAGCACAGAGCACTGTGAAAACCTATGGATCTCAATCAGAATGTGAGGGAGTGCATGTCGCCTCACTGGAGCAAATGTCCCGTTTCACTAAGCATTGTGCTGCGAATGAGGGAGCACTGCCAATACAATGCACTGACAAAAAAAAAAGGAATATCTGAAAATGTGTTTGCTTTTGGAATACAACACAATTAATCTGTTAGCTTGTGGGGTGTCTGTCACACATCAGTGCTCATTCATTTCAGTCTGCAACTGAAAATTCAGCTGTGCCCAATAAAGGCGAGAATTGTTCTGTTAGTTGTGTGATTTATATTTAATGAAAAGATGTTGGAAGAGTTTGATGAAATAAAAGCATTTGGCAAACATGCTGCTCTACTGTTGCACTTAGTCAGACCTCTGGGTCACATTGTCTTTCAACAGTGTTGTGAGTTAGGCTGTGATTTTTGCACAAAGAAATAATTGTGTTTTTAGTCAAAGTATGATTCACACTGTTTGCTCTAATTAGGCTTAATGACATTGGATACTGATTAATTTAGCTAGAAGTTTAAAATTTACAATAGAAACCGCAGGTTTTAAATGACCAGCTATCTTTGTCATGATGGGTAAGGCATTTCTCATTACTATACTTGGAGTTATCACAATGATCTTATAGTGAGCTACATTGTTTTAGAATAACTGATATGGTTATATCTATATAGAAGATGTTCTGGAGTTTAAAAGGTTAAATCATTACCTTAATCAGTGGTTTATCCAAAGTGCAGTTCAGCCCTCATAGTGTACTGTACATGTTGTGCAAATATATGTGCTTGTATTTATTCATTTTGTTTGTGTCAAACATGATACCTGCTCCAACCAGATGTATTCAAGTAACCTGCAATGGAATCATGATTTGTGGTTACACCATAGTAAGCATAAAATATGTAGGCCTAGCAGGTGAATTTACTATTTGTACTTCATAATGAGTAACATCTAATCAAATCTACAAGTCACAACTCAATCTGGAATGCAGCAGAGCAGAGTTTCAGGCAGCAGGCCAATAGCACAATGGCAATCAACTCAATAAATGTTCCAGTTTTATCCCTTGCAACTAGTAATAGTTACATTAATGCACTAATAAAAGGTAATCAGCAAGTTTTGTCATTCATGAGGGAGTTCGAAGCAATCACAACTGCATGAACACAATTGGTGTTATGGGGAAGCCAACACTTTTGAATACATTAAATCCAGTACAAATAAAAGCTTTATGGTAGAGCTGTGGGTCAGTGGGTCACCAGTCTTTGAAAGTCAGCTTAATAATATTAGGTCCGAGATAAATGAGGAAGGGCCACCACCCCAAATCCCAAAGGCAACAGGTTCTTCCTAACATGGCCTGCCGGTGCCCTCTAGTGGGCACATCCGGGAATTATCGGCGCCGACGCTCATCGATGTCCAGAGTTTGTTTTCCGCTCTTTGGTTGGATGTTCGGATTTAAATCACGATTCATGTTCTTATCAAGATGTTTCATGCAGCAACATGTAGCTCGGATTGACCTTTGCTCGGAGGAAATGCAGTTTCATTTGTTTTTCTGCCGTTACCGTTCCCCCTCCGCGAGGACACAGCAGGGCAGAGCGTTTGGCTGAGGGCGCTGAGAGGAGCAGAGCGTGGAGAAGAAGAGTTTACCAAACTCCAAACAAAAGGTAACTGGGAGTTATTTATCCACTCTACAGGGTTTGTATCCGCTTTGTTTTGCTTTTAAGAATACAACTGTCGGTTTTAACGTAGTGGGCGAAAAGTAAAGTTACTTTTGTAAACGCGTTTTCAAATTATTTGATGCACATCGGGCTTATGTGGAAATATATGTCAAATCAATGGCGTTAGGCAGAATATAATTATATTTTATGTATACATATAGGTTTTGCTCAAATAAATTCCGCGAAATTAAAATTATTGTGTGTTTGGATTGCCCTTATTGTAGAATATCGGGTTTGGTGCATTTCTGTAGTTTATTATTAAGATGTATATGACCGCTTTGTTTGCCACATGGTCTATAATGAACATAAAGTGCTTTCCGTTTGGTTCTGTTCAAAACTGGATAATAAATCAGCTGGATAACACTACATGACTGCATTGTGTGTGTGTGTGTGTGTGTGTGTGTGTGTGTGTGTGTGTGTGTGTGTGTGTGTGTGTGTGTGTGTGTGTGTGTGTGTGTGTGTGTGTGTGTGTTGAGCGGCAGCAGGATTCTTGGCAGCCCTCCTGTGTGTTGCACAGTGAGTGGTCATTCTCCTCGCGTCCCTATGTGATTCGTTCTGGCCCTACCGGGCCAGCTGTGATGAATCAGCAGAATTCCCCGGCTCAGCACAAGGGCAGCGGATTAATCATAGGAAGCTTAATGCTATGTGACACACACACACCTCAATGGATGCACACACACACACACTCTCATTCAGTCAACCTGCCACTCGTGTGCATGGTTGGACGAGCACATTAAGGTTTGGAATGAAGAAATAAAATGCAGGGGTGGCATGAGAAAGTTATCAGATAATCCTGTCATTCTGTTCAAGGGATTTGGCCCTTCAGCAGGTGGTGCATAGGTATGTTGACTGCTTCTCGTACAGCATGTAAGGAAAAAACATAACTTTAGCTTGCAATGAAGCTTTTGTCCAAACAAGGAAAAGGAAAAGGAGAAAATAAATGAAGGAGACACGTAGTGGTTCCCATAGCGTCTTAAGCTATTATTGGAGGCATGCTGTTACGGACAAGGAGTGCTGAGCCAAAAAGTAAAAGAGTTTGGAAACGTATTTGCGCCTGACTGCTGCAAATTGCTCTATGGATGGGCAACATTTGTCCTTTGTATGTGTGTTCCTGAATATGGAGAATGAGTGTCTTACAACATTGTGGATGAGCAGTCCAATAGGAATGTCTGTATTCAAGCATTCATCTTCAGGGGCATGGCCTGGATGTTTTCTGGTCTGGTCCTCTCACTGAATGGTGTTTTCAGTGTCAACATGCCAGACTATTTACCACTGAACGGATTTTTCCCATTCCTTCTGTTCATGATTCAGTTCCTCAGTTGACTCAGTTCTTTTTTTATTGTGTGTCTCACAATTATTCATAACTTTAAAGCCCCCACTGCACTCGAAACAAGTTTTGATATAGTCTTGTTTAAGAAGAAGAAGAAGACATACTTTATTAATCCTTTCCAGGGACATTTATTTCTCCATGTTTGTTTACACACATTACCCACACAGGGGAGGATATACATGCACAAACACAGAGGATATACATTAAGGAATTGCATTATTTCTGAATAACAACTGATAACTGTAATATTAAAAGCATATTTTATATTTTAAAATATTTCTGGGTGGGGGTAACATTGTTATTTAATATAAAAATACAGTTGTTTTTCTTCTTCAGGGGCCCCTGGTGACAGTTTCCACACTCCTCGGGCATCTCCACTGAGTGATGCTCCAGATTTCATCCCTGGTATCCCCCAACTCCTCCCTGCTTCATCTCAACCTTCCCCTGCAGCCCCAGTTTCATCTCCACCTCCAATCCCAGTCCTCACACCCAGTGGGAAGAAAGCACCATCATCAGGACCCCCTCCTGATTGGAAGCCTCATCCACCAGTCGGCTCTAACAGCTCTACCATTGGCCCTGGATTTAGCCCGCTGCACAACAAGTCAGGAAGTACTGTGGGTAGAGGACAAGCTGCTTTGGGGAGGAATGGGGGTCCTCCTACTTCAACGACTCGCCCTCCAGTCTCGAAGACTGTTGCCATCAGCCCCACAAAGAGCACCTCCTCTCAGTGTAGTGCCTCACCTGTGGGGGGTCTCTCCTCTAACTGGAGGGAAAGAGACAGTGGTCCCAGTCAGTCTTTACTGCCCGCTCAGGGGCCTGTGGACAGCCAGGGAGAGGAGCTAGAGAAGCTGCTGAGGGAGTGTAAGACGACACTGGGTATCACTGCCAGTCAGGAGGGGGCCACAAACACTGCAGGTAAGATTTATACAGTGTATTTTATATACTCCTTAAAAAGTATAGACTGCAGAATTTAGTTTGAGTAATAAAACTTGCCATTTCATTGGAGGCCTAACATTTCCCTACTTTGAGAAGGGCAAATCCATTTCTTTTACATTTTTAATATGTATTTGATATGCATGTGAAGTCTTCTGACATTTCTGTATCCTTCACCCAGGGATACTGAATCATCTACTGACAGAAGTGAAGAGTTTGAAGGGTACTTTACAGGTGAGATGATTGTTGTTTTTAAATATATACTGGCTGTTTTTCTCTTATCTAGTTTTTGTCTGGGTGGTCTGTGTCATACTAAAGGTAATTGACCGTTTGCGTTGCCCCTACCCCAAACAGCAAGTGCACTTAGTGCCTAAACAATTTGAAGTAGGCCCAGGAATTGTCCAGTTTAGTGGTTTACATGAAGCTGTATAAAGAACCGTATTTATTATATATTCAGTTTGGAGTATGGTATCTCATTTTCTAGCCATTTAAAAGCAGAACTACAAGTGCAGAAGTGTAAACATGGATTAATCTGCTCCAATGTATAGGTTAGCTTGTTAGCTGCTAACTAGCTTCCCACTACGTCTACTACTGTCGTTTCTCATTTTAAAACAAATGAACTAAATCTTTACTTTTCAACAAAGTCATTTAGCTAAGCTTAATACGCTAGCTACAGTCTTTTTTTAAAAGAACTATGAATTCCTAAAGTTATTCAAGTAACCTGCCATGGTAACTAGGAGGACCAGGTTTTGCTAACAAAGTCAATTATGGACCAAATTGAGACTAAAAATACCTCAGTGTTCTAATGGTTGTAGTTTTCAGGTTTATTTCCAAATGTTGCTTTGCTTTCCCAGTAAGATGTACCTTCTCCTATCTCTTTTTTTTGCCAACATTCCTAGTATAGCCATGTAAACAGGAAGTCACTCACTGTAATTACACATAAATCAGAGTAGTGCTTGTGAACTCATCCAGGAGATAACACACCATGTCGCTCTCCACCCCCCTCACTATCACAATAGGCCTTAGACAGGGCCCCGCTGGGAGCTGCAGCTTTAATAATGGAGGTCTTCCTGTCCTATGCTTCTCCTGAGAGGCCCAAAAGAGGAACATCGTTGAGATCATCTTCTGTCAAAGTTGTTTGTATCTCATGCTTGTACAGTTGAAACATAAGTATTACATTTTAGTCTGTTTCTTTATTTTCTTAAAGTAAGTCTTAAAGTCCATCACACACATGTATTTATCTTCCTTTGACTTCCTCAAAACTCTTGTCCAGTAGGGTCTCACCATTTATTTTGGATTCACCCACGATTAGGTTCCAATCCCAAAACCTTACGTAAACCATGTACAATAAGAATGTCAATTCTGCAAGCATTTTTCAGTTCTATTGCTGGGGCGTTCCACAGTCTTATGAGGATGGCGATATGCTGCTGTAATTTCCTGTCAGTCGTTCGTTCCAATTCCTGACCCTCCCTTATGAGGATTGTAGCCAGAGGCTCCCAGCTTCCTCCAGATCTGCCACAGATTACTACAGCTTGGATATGACTGTGTGCTTCCCTCATCCCCATCTTTTTACTCCTCTCCTCTCAGAATTATTTAATCATTATATTAAAATGAAGTGCTTATCTGACACACATGGCAATCATGTGCTTCCTTGTCACATCTCTACTCTACCCTCCACAATCCCTTATCTCTGCAAGGGACCTATAAGCCTTCCCAGCTAAACCTCAGAGAGACTGTGGTGCACCACTGAGAGGTAGCTGAGTATTAAAAATCGGGGGGCGATCCAACACTGTGTTTACATGGGCCCTCGGTCGGGCAATATAAGCCTCCAAAGCTGGACTTTATGAACCCTCTGTCTGCTCTGCTGTCCTGGGAGGCTTTTTGTGGTGAGCAAGAGTAGGGGGAGTGCAGTGCGGAGGAGGGGGTTCACATTCGGCTGTTCAGGAGACAAAACTTGTTTTGTTTAGCGCCGTGTGACGAGGTGGGGGCGAGGCCTGCAGTGACTGACTGACCATGTGTTTTGTGTGTGTGTTCCACGTGAGACAGAAGTCTCACAAACACGTACAGATGCATTGAAAGTCTTGGCTTGCGCAATTGGTTTTAAGCTTTGTATAGAACCCCCCCCCCCTTCTCTTCCCCGGCCCTGCCTTTTCTCATTCCCTCATTCTTTCTCCATCAGAGAGCTGACCGCTCCTCTGTGAGCAACAAGAACTCTGAAAAATTACCCTCCAACTATTTGCTGCAATGCTCCTCTCTATCTCGTCCCTTTCTTCTCCCCTACCCCTTCTCTATATCGCTACCTCGCCTCCAACTCTGCTCTTTCACATCCATCCATCTTTAATCTGACTCCAAGTTGCTTAAGACTTCTTTCTTTAGCTGTGACCTCCTTGTTTTTTGACCTTTTTTTTAGTACAATTTAAGTAGCCATTATTCTTCCAGTCACATTCTGTGAGCTAGGCCTCTCCTCCGCAGTTCTTTAGCCCTGCATTCCCAAATGCTAATGTATTTCTTTCTGTCTGTCCGCAGCCATAATGTAGTTCTTGTCTTGTAAACTGAATTCTGAAGACACATGATTACCCAATGTGCAGCAACCTACTAAGGATATTATCCAATGTACCATCTGTCTATGCTTATACGCACCACCAGTCTTCCATTGTCTTAACCAACAACATTGAAAACACCCCATTCATGTCTGGGTAGTGGGTGTGTGTGTGGGTGGCTGGTCACTCCCTCCTGGAGATTTAGTCAATCTTAAAGCCCTGCTTTGGAATCAGTTCCAGGTGAACGCTGCTGGAGATTTCCAAGAATGATCTCCATGTTCCCTCTCTTTTCTCCTCAAAAGGCTTCTTCTAACTCAAAAAAGACTTGTATCTGGAGGCTGTTCAGATGTAAAAGGAACATTTAGTGTGTTTGGGAGGAACAGGAGGCTTGTGTGCATGCTGTGTTGAATTTGCAGCGCCGAGCAAATGGCGGTGACTTCGCACCCCTTTTTTCTTTGATGTCTGTGTGGACATTTATACATGGGACTTGTAGGCGCTACCAGGCTATTTTCATGTGCCAGTCAGGGGAATTTGCCCATTTTGTCAATGTGTGACTGTTTTAAAGGGAATGAAATGTCCCATAATAGGCGTAACGGTGTATTCCACCACTTTTTGGAAATATACGCCACGACAGAGGAACCAGTACAGAGTTGGGATGTTTCCCCAAGTATGTACAAGACAGACTGGGTGTAGAGGTAAAACAGGGACAGATAGTTGGAACACACACACACTGACACAATGCCCTAGTGTGCTGGACACTTTCCAGGACGTTGTCAGGAACTCAGATGTGCATCAAGAATATAGACAGGCAAGTGTATCTGTGTGTGTGTGCTGGGTACCACATCTGGACTTGCAGTGGGTCACTAGGTCAGCTCTTGAGGGAGCGTGTGTGTGTGTGTGTCTCGAGACTTACAACCCACACCCTTATCTCAGTGTGAACATGAGGAGCGCGCCTTCCTGTTTCCTCAAACAGACTGCTCTATTTGGAGTGTCTTCATCCAGATAACACATATTTAGACTTGAAGGATTCAACTCCAAATATGTTTTATACTATTATTAATCATAGAACTTTTCCAAAAACATGTTACTAGGGCTCCAACTTACCCCTGAATGTGTGGGTGTGAGAAATCTTGACAATGTGGTTTGGTGGTGAGGTAAAAGAATAACGAATGTGCGGGAGAGAACAGGGGAAGTGTGTGTGTGTGTGTGTGTGTGTGTGTGTGTGTGTGTGTGTGTGTGTGTGTGTGTGTGTGTGTGTGTGTGTATAATCGGGTCCAGCTGTGGTCTTGAGTCACTGGTCAGATGAGGGAGCGACTTGGCTCAGATATCACCTCCTCCTCCACATCTCCATCCATTCTTCATCTAATTACTAACCCTCCCAACTCCTCCGCTCCTCTGCACTCCCTCTGTCTCTCTGTCTTTATATTGCTCCACTGTCCTAACATTATGATTTTATTGTCCTTCCTCTCTCCCTTCTGTCTTTCTCAATCCTCTTCTTCTTTTATGATGATGGTTATTAGATTTTATTTAATGCGATTGCGTTTACCCTCATTAGCATAGCACAGAGAGCGACCTTTGATGTCCAAGCTGTGCTTGTAGGCGCGCGAGGCAAGAATACTCTGATAATATGAAAAACGTTTTCAACATCCCTCATGCTCAAAAATGTGAAACCGAATCTGTCCCATGTAAGGTTTCCATCCAACCGTGCTGATAGTCGTTAGAAATAGAATGCACTTCACAATGCAACCTTGGCCACGCTCCTGAAGTTGAATCGTGTTTTCTGTCTGACCAAGATTTATTTTAAGGGGCTTTTCTTCTTCTTCAAGAGCAAATCTTTTTTGTAGTTATTTTTTTTTATATGACGGGAGAAAACCTTTTTGCTCGAACTTCAGCTATGCCTCATTAGAGTTGACTTGCCAGCTCTACTCTTCTCTGCTTGCTGAGGCCTGTCGCTCAGTTCGGCTCTATGTATTCTCCTAATGAGGGCCAAATGGAAATCGATTGTTCATTTGATTATAGCCTGTCTGCTTAGGGTTCAGCTATGTTTGTTTTTGGCAGTCTCATCCAGTCTTTTTCCTTTGAATGCTGTGTATAAAGTTGGTGTAGCAAATGATTTGCACAAGTAATACATTTAGTATTAGTGTTTGTAGGAAGGACTTTTTCAGGCAATCTTTAACAAAACCTATAAAAATGACATGCCGTTTATGTTAAAAAAGACATTCGGCTTTAAATCTGTATTTTGTGCATCTACTCTGTGACATGTTGACATGCTTTAATGTTCAAAAAGCTCTTTATTTTTCTCATACTTCAGCAGCTCTGTTCACCCTCTGTCTGAAACCAGAGCCCATTATTATTTTTTAAAACACAAGTATCAGTCCGTGTTCATATTAGGCATGAGACGACTTAAAAAGTTCATTATGAGTTCATTATTATTATCCTGGCCAACGATCAATCAATCTTCAATTATTATAACTTGTATAATTAAAATGTGACAAAATAGTTAAATAATGTCTGTTCTTTCTTACCAGATAATTTCAGTATTTTTTAATCTTTTTTTTGTTCTCTACCATGATGTTGAACTAGACAGCTTTTTCGACTTTTTTTTTAACTCGGACAATAAAGATTCAGCAAAGACGTTTTTATCGGAAACTGATGGTGGTAAATAGAGTGGACATCAACTGATACCAACGTCCTGCCAATCGGTGTATCCCTTACAATTCTACATCATCCCATCCCTAGTTTATGTAAAGTACCATCAATCGTATCAAAATACCAGTGTTCGCAACATAAACGCCCCTGCTCTTTCCCTTCCAGACGGAGCGCGGGGAATGGCTGCAGTTCCAGGCAGACCTACAGGTGGCGGTGTCAGTGGCGGACCGTCTAAGAGCTGAGGCAGAAGAAGAGCTCACCGCGATCCGAACAGCGCACAGAGATGTGGAGAGGGAGCTGACCGCTTCCCAGCAGAGACTAAAGGAGGCTGATGTGCAACTAGTCACCCTGAGAGGGGAGTTAAAGGAGAGCCAGCAGAGACAGGCCACTCTCGCCCGGGCTCCATGTCAGGAAGCAGAGAGGCCCAATGGACAACCAACCGACAGCTGTGAAAGCAAAGAAGGGACCCAGAGAGGCAGGGAGAAGGGGGCGTTCAGGTCGGGGTTGGAGAGTAGGAGTCAGAATGAGATGACAAAGAATACTGTGAGCGAGGAGGCCAGGACAGACTCTAAAGGTGTGACTCAGCGTTACCTGAGAAATGTGACCAATGAGGACAGGTGTGGAGAGGAGGTGCGAACCAGCGAGACACGAAGGACGGTCACTACAGAGAGGTCAAGGTGAGATAGTGTTGACCTAGTGCTTTTCAGGGAATACAGGGAAACAAATAGTATTTCTGCAACATATAACTAAAACATATTTTTTTGTAGATCGCACTTTAATGTGTTTCGACAGTCAGATATTTAAAAAACGCAACCACAATACGTTTATACTTACATTTTTTGTCTATGACATAGCAGTGACCAATGGATAACAATCTCCTTATTTGGGCAGAACTGTGGTTGCGGTTTCTTTTGAATGAGTTGTACTCAACCCAAGTCTTCACAAGGCCACTTTAGGACAGATTAAACAGCATTTACAGCTGGAGCCAAGTGTAACAGCTGTCCAAAAATCCCATTTAAAACGTTTGGTTTAGTTTATTGGGTCTGCTCTCCTTACAATGTGATTTGATGTTTGCAGAAGCCTGTCCAGATTACCGGCCCCCTCAGTATCCCCCACCGGGCCGAATGGAACCCTTCAGCCCAATACTGCCTCAACGCTTGGACCTTCAAACAAGGTGAAATACTTTGACCCGAGTGTTGGGGAAATATTTTCCAAGGCCCATAACTTTGACCCAGTTTATCAGTTCATACTTTCCTGACTGAGCACACGCACCTGCAACCTTGGCTGCTGTGCTCTGTGTTTTGTCTCCCTGTTCCTGCCTGTTGGCGTCAGCTGATAGAGGTGTTATGCTTCTATATTGTTATGCACAATGTTGATTATTCTCTCTGAACTAGCTAAATACATGGGTCTGGGGTAGAGTTCTTCTGATTTGATGTGGCGACTCTACCGTGAAGTCAGAACCTCTGACTCTTTGACTTGTTTTGTGAATTCTCCTGCCGAAGCTCCTAAATAAACCATCAGTGTTTGACATCAAAGCTCCAGCTCTCCATGTGTCTCCTTTTGAGTCTGTGACTCCTCCTGTATTGCTACACAGAAGTTTCCCCCACACCGAGGAAGATCCTTCATTAGAGTTTGGTGGTTGGCCAAAAAAGCAAATGCTTGTCGTCCATGGTTCGATGTTCATTTAATGACTTTGTCTAAATTCAAATCTTTGTTTGTTTGAAAGAACTCGGTGCAACCAAAAGGCAGAAGAAGTCTGGATTGGCAAGACAGCAGGTCAAGCTCCGACACAGGTGTGTATGTGTGTGTGTACAAAGGGCCTGTATACAGTGTGTCACAGGATGCTTGTGTTATTTGGTATAGCTTTAGCGTTATTTCACTTCCAAAAATGGTTAAAGAAGAGTCTTTAAACACTAGCAGCAGTGGGTTGTTTGTATTGTACATGTGCACAGGAAGGATTAAGGATGGTGGTTACACCAGATGAAGCAATATGCCAAAAAACCCAATAAAGAAGAAGACAACTCTTAAGCAAACATAATTGTGAACAGTGCAATATGTATTATATTCAGGTTAATAAAGCATATAGAATGAAGGAAATGCATTCAGCATATTTGTTAGACTTCAAGGGAGTTTTAAGAGGAAGTAGGAAACACTGAAAGGTTATATTAATTGTGTTTGTACACAGGAAAAAGGGCACCTTTTTATAAAGCTTCACTTTCAAGATTATTATAATAAGTGGTGTTTATTCATTGTGAAAGTGAAACTTTAACTAAAGACTAGTGAAAGTTCATGTTAGCATCTATAATGGCTTGATTGTGATGTTCAGTAAATATGGTTGCTTGTCTTTACAGGAAGACGTGAGGAGTCTCTGAACAAATACAACTCTGCCCTCACTGAGCTTCCTCCCACCAAGTGCGTCTACACACACACACACACACACACACACACACACACACACACACACACACACACACACACACACACACACACACACACACACACACACACTTCCCACAAGGACACACACACAATTCCCACAAGGACACAATCAGACTAATTAGTGGCTTTGTCTGGTGAACTCGAAAAGCTCTCTTTTGTAGCCCAACACCTCTTACTGTATACTTGAATGGATTTGTTCATTAGGTTTCTCTTTTGGTTTTTGTAATGTCCATCTGATAAGCCCTGCTGCGCCGTGTCTCTTGTTGTTGTCAGATCCCAGGATGGTTTCAACATGCTGCTGCGTCGCCATGGAGGCTCGAAGAGAAACTCTCTGCTCCGCTGGTGTCAGAGTCGGACACAAGGTTATAAGGTGACACTTTGATTTGTCTGTCAAAAAAACAAGATATTGAATTAAAAGATATTCAGTTTAATATGATATAAGCCCGAGAAAAGCAGGACATTTTTATATTTGAGCGGCTGAAGATATGTTGGCCTAATCTATCAATGTTTTCCCTCCATGCAGAATATCGACATCACCAACTTCAGCAGCAGCTGGGCCGACGGTCTGGCCTTCTGTGCCGTGTACCACACCTACCTCCCCTCACACATCCCCTACACCAGCCTCACTCCAGAGAACAAGGTAGGGACTGTGCGATGGAGAGGAACAGGTTCTTTACTGAATGTCACTCCTCTTACCAATCCCTTTTTCTCTTTGTAGAAGGAGAATCTCAGTATGGCATTCAAAACAGGAGAGACGGTTGGGATTGCACCAACCCTGGTGAGCCTTGGGGCATTTATGAATAAACAAATCAATAAAGAATCACATTTTTCCTATGATAGATGCGAGGTTAAGCTTATGAGCGTATTTGAAATCTGTGCTCCACAGATGGTAGAGGAGATGCTGAGAGGAGGCGGTCCTGACTGGCAAAGGGTCCTGAGCTACGTGGAGAGCATCTACCGTCACTTTGAGATGTGACCCTCGGAGATACTGACAGACAACTCTAACACAGCGGATCCTTAAGAACTCTTAAGAAGATATAAAATAATTTGTTTATAACGATGGCCCCCCCTGAAAACATAACTTTTGTTGTGTTTCTGAAATAATTTTCTTAGCAAAAAAAGACATTCAAATCTACAGTTTGACATCAAAATACCTGACGAAAACCTGATCTCACAAAATAAGAAAAATCTGCTTTTTTGCTGCTATGACTTACAGTTCATTTTGCTTGGTTTTCTGTCAAACGTTTTGAAAATGTCCCACTGAAGTGGAGAGTAATACCTTGTCACTTTTGTAAGCAATCTTATATTATTCATATACTTAAGCAGCTGAAATTTCAATACATAAGTATGAAGTCTCAAGAGTTCAGACACAGTACAAGTACTGTAGATGTCTTAACTGAGAAGGAGGGGAAAGACTAATAAAACACTTATTTATTACTAATTGGGCCTCATTGAACAACATTCAACACTGATTAATGAATGAATAATCAGTGTGGCTGATTGTTTATCATTTGCCCCCATTACACTTTGTAAAAGCAGGTGTTGTGCCATGTGCAATGAATCGGTGAGATGCCACTAAAAGACCTTTAGGAAGCAGTAGGTTGAAGAACTAATAATATTATCATCATAATTACTGAAAAATAATCTTAATTTGATAATTAAATATTCATGTTTTTTATGTTTTTCAAACTCAAAACGTATGTTTCCTAACAATTTGTGAACTGTGAGGACAAGATATTTTTATCTTATCTTGCCAAGAGTTATCTTGACTGCCAATTACATTTCATTTTCATTAAGAGCAAATAAATCCCAGAAATCAACTGGCACGAATAAAACAAGAGTACATTTTATAGAATTATGAGGAATTTATTTGTACAAGTACAGTTGCTGTCAATGTCTCCACACTGGTACTTCACTTCCCAAAAGTAGTGTATCGCATTGTGTACCTTCATCAAATCTGTAAGCAGTCTTAAAACTGCACACTTTTTATCTGCCAATGTTTTGTTTTGCCTCCTGTCTGTGATGCTCTGCCAAGATTCTTCTTTTATTCTGGCACTCTGTAAATATGCACTTTTGTCAGCACCTTGTTGGTGTTTGAATGTAATAATGTACAATACAGATGTTACGTAACTGCATAACAGGTTCTAAATAGAGCATAAACAAATACAAGCCTACACAGGCTTACGCAAACTTGCAACATCACCTCGCATCACACCTGAAGCCTCACAGATGCACCCTCGTACTACACCGGGGCTAAGAAACTGAAGAGCTGGTGCTGTTTTGACAAGTTCAAAGCCGAGTTATTTTTGCCAAAGTTGTACATGTCTAAAATATTGGAAAGAATACTACTTTTCTTGTGGAAATGGAGCATTGTAAAACATGTTTATATGTAACTAGTGTGAAGAATTACACCAAAGAAATAAAATGTTAATATGAAGCAACAAACAGTGTGTGGGTATTGTGTAAACAAGTGACTTAAAAACAAAACTTTGACATGGAACACTTGCAATAAAAAGACTGAGGCGGAGTATTATTGGGCTTTTGGCATAGTCAATATTGCTTTATGTTCTTTTTTGGGTAGTAAGAGATAGCCTTGACTCTCCTACCACCTGCTGGTCAGGAAGAGGAAATGCATGCTTTTTCATTCTGCCTGTGTCATCATGTTCCTTTGTGAAAATTATAATTACTGCTTAGTTCAAAATATGACATCCAGTTTCTGCTATCACAAATTAATTAAAACATCAGACCACATAGCTGGACTGCAATAATATGGATTTATTTTTTAGGACGCTGTAAAGTAGTAAAATGTTCACAAAACAAATTAATGATAAAATGCCAAGTATTAAACTCTCAGGTAGGTAGCTATGTGTCACATATTTCTCGCAGGGGTGTCATTCGAGACGTATTTTCTTTACAGTAACACTGGGAATTATCATACCCTGAATAGACAGATGAGACGCATCCCCCTGGGCAGAGGCGTAAAGAGTATCTGAGATCCCCTTCCTCCTTTGTGTGTAATAAAGAATATATGCATCCTGGTGTGTGTGACGGTGTGTATGAGCAAGAGACTGCGATGCCATGGGGCGTTGGTGGACAGACAGGAGGTGTGGCTTTCTAAACAGTGTCTTCACAAAGTGGTCGCTGTCAGTAAGGTGTCTGAAGCAGACTTGCCAAGCGGGGACCAGAAGCATGGATGCCATCTGGACTCTGGTTGTGTGTGTGGGAGTTGTGTTTTTTCCTGTTCCTGGTTCAACTCAGGAATCACCCAGGTAAGAGATATGGTTAGGGTAAAATCACAATCTGCCTCAAGAGATTTTTAAGGGGCAGTTAAAGACCCACCTTTTCCGACAGGCCTTTGGGTCGCCGGAGGAGGTGAGTTAGTAGCTGTCTTTCATTGGTGTTTTATCCTATGTATTACCTGCTGTTGTTTTATGCCTTATATTCTACATTTTATAGTTGTACTGTGAATTGTGTACTGTACTGTAAAGCACTTTGTACATTCGTGTTGAGAAGGGTGCTATATAAATAAAGTTTTACTTACTTACTGACTTTTATAGTCCAACTGTTTTCACCAATCAATAACAACCATTCTTCCTCTTTCTACTAGGACATTGTTTCTGATCTCGGTTCCAGAGGTGTTGCATGCTGGGACCCCAACACCGCTGGCTGTCACCGTCCTTGCTGACTTCCCTGTCAGGGTGATGGCTGAGGTGAAACATGGCAAAACGGTATTCACCCAAACAGAGGCCTTCCAAGGAGGTGAAACTGAGATTTCTAGAGTTGATTTGCATAATAACAGTTTTGAAGAAAGTTTAACTATCATTCTGTTTTTAAGGTTTGACCAGAGTCCTTACACTCCCTCCGGTGAGTATGACTTCCCTCTTCTTAGTTATTTTTAATTAAATGTTTTAACCATGTGTATGTGTCTAAAAATGCTTGTCCAATCTCTCCAGATTCTTGAATATACCCCAAATTCCCTCTTAAACTTGACGGTGAGGGGATACAGAGAGGACAATCTCATTTTTACCAACACCACCACCCTCACATTCAGCCCGAGGAATGTCTCCACCGTTATTCAAACCGACAAATCATGCTACCTACCAGGCGACACCGTCAAAGTCAGAGTTGTGTCTGTACAGTTGAATAACCATCCGTATAAAGGCAGAGTGGAAATCTCTATACAGGTAGGCCAGAGGAGTTGAATGGACTTTTTGACGGGTATTGTGTTTTGGTGGGAAGTTTGACTGACTTTCTTTTGTGACATGCAGGATCCCAGTAAGAATGTTGTCTACTGGTCGGAGTCCACAGGGAATCTGGGGATTGTGTTGCGGGAATTCAGTTTATCCCCAACGTCTCCTCATGGACATTGGACAATCACAGCTGCAGTGAATGTAGGATTGAAACGTAGCACATCTCTTTACCTTTGTGCAGAATGCAGTTTTAGAGACTGCTGTTAGAATTGATTCACAAAAATAAAACTACCATTCTCTTTCCGACAGGGCTTGATTGATGAGAAAGCATTCATTGTGGAACATTATGGTAATATATCTATCAGTTTCTTTTCATTATTATTTGATTGCCATGTTTGTGGTTGGTTGGTTGGTTGTTCCACCACTTTGGCCATGACTAACATATCTCAACAAATATGAATGGGTCGTCATGAAATGTTGCTGGAGACTTTCTTTGTCCCCAGAGGATGAATCCTCCTGATTTAGTTTATCTCATGACTTTCCTTTGGACCAATGTAGGTGAACATTGTACATTGATACTGAAATAACTAGATGGATTTCAATTACATTTAACATAGATATTCAAGGACCATAGGGAATACATTCTGAACACTTTGATCAGCTGACTTTTCCTCTAATGCTACTATCAGGTAAGAATTCATATTTATCTAATACTTTTGTTCATGGCTTCACATAAAAAGTATAAAAGAAGAGGACGAAGCCAATGCCAAGTGTTACGTTCCCTTCTAAATCTAGGGGTACAAAGGGAAGTAACAACACACAAAATATCCGGCCGAGAGAAAAAGGAGAGGAAACTGAATGCTGAAGCCACAAAGTGAGGTTTTAATTAATACAAAAGTAAAGAGGCTCACCAGCCAAATTGCAAAACAAACTTAACAGGTTAAACTAGGCCTCACACAGAGACACTATACTCACACAGAGACACTATACTCACACAGGCTGCACACATGCAGCCAGAGGAGAAGGAGAGAACAACTGCAGCCTTCCTCAGGTCCTTTATGGAGGCCCTGATTGGGGATTGGGAGCACCTGGGGAGAGGCTGCACCTGGAGACAATCAGAGGGAGAGAGAGAGGCACACACACACAAGCACCAACTGCGGCACGTAACACAAGTTATTAAAACCTACATTCATTTTAATGGCCAGCATTTGGCAGTACACTGGTTGCAAAATGAAGTCATTATGTATAGAAGTATTATACTCATTCTATTTAATACCTCAGTAAACGTTTTTTTTATTTAAGTTTATGGTCCCAAACCCTTTTTTCAAGCCTTCTTCAATACAACATGAGGTTTTTTTTATAAATGTTGGTTGCTTTTGCAGTCAAATAGACGATGCTTAAGGGTGTGACTAATTTGTGATTCTACTATTAGGATAAGATGTAGCTATGTTTATCCTGGGTCCCCATATTGCCCAAATACGATCAGCAAATATCTAAGATGGCTTTGGCAAAAAATGCCAAACTCCAGGTTTTGAAAATGGTAAATCAAGTCTTAGTAACTTGAACCTAACACACTAATGATATTCCCATCATGCCAACATATTTATTTATATGATGAACATATCATATCATCCCATTGCCACTCCAATGATTTTCCTTCCTGTTGTTGCAGAGCGCCCTCACTTTGAAATGCTCTTCAAGACACCTTCACAGGTCCTCATTGGAGATGACATCTCAGGATCAGTGAGAGCACTGTGAGTTCTATTTTCTCAGGCAAAGCAGTAATATAACAGTGGACATATGTTAAGCATATTGTACTTTAATTGTTGTCCTTCAGTTACCCCAGTGGACAGCCTGTACGGGGGACACTGACTATCTCCGTCACTGTGGCGTCTGATGTGCACAATGCAGCCTCTACAGTCACTGTGACTAAATTGGTGAGGTTTTACTGGCTCTCTATCTCATTCATAACATGAGACTAGATGTAGACTCTCTGTGCTTTTAGCTAGCATTCGTAGTGAACATACCTGCATCTTAAACAGCATTGATTCACTTTCAAATGTGTTTTTCAGCTTTATGGGTCAACACGGTTTGTCTTTAGCAAAGATCAGCTTCAAGGCATTAGCGGTCGTGTCCGAGTTGATGCCTTTGTTACTGACATCCCTACAGGTGAGATATATTTCAAACTATATTGATGTAAACATCTCATCAGCATCTACAAATAGTTCTCTTATATCACTTCTTGTAACCCAAGGATTTCAAGTGAACAAAACAGTTGAAGTCGACATCATGACGAAGACGTTTCAGTTAACATTCCATGACTTTCCATCTACACTAAAGCCATCACTACACTTCTCTACAAAAGTCAGTGACTTATTATTTTGTTAATTTGACATCTATTTTTAAACTGTTGCTAACTATTTCCTATGCTTTTACCCCACAGCTAAAGATCTCCAGATATGACAGAAATCCGCTCAGCTCACAGGATCTAAAGCCCTCTGTTATTATTGAAGTCACTCAGAGTACAAACACGAGGAACTCTCTACCGACAACTCTGTCTCTGCCAGTCCCTCAGGATGGGAACATCCACATTCAGTTTGAATTACATGATCAAGTAGACATGCTTTTTATTCAGGTGAGTATTTTGATTAACAGAACCTGGAATGTTTGTCCTCCGGGAGAAGCAGTGTTCTGCAGTTTCGTTGTTATGTAAAATGAGTAGTTTCAGTACAGAAGGATTACACATGCTTGCCATCTAAAATGACCAAATGACCTGTAACCATAAGAAGAGTATTAGAACATCCGAAGATTCTAAAACAGATTTACTTACTCAACCTAAGGGGGGAAAAGATCCATCAGAAACCCAGAAACATATCTTTAATGTAGGCCACATTTCTATTTTCTTTAATATATTCTGTATTTTGTGTTTATATCAAGGCAAAATTCCAAACCAGTGAGGATACTCTGACTGTCTACAACAACCAGCCCTCTCCTAGTGGCTCATATATTCAGATCTCACCGGTCAACACCTCGCCTGCACAGGTAACTCTTAACATATATTTAGCAAAATACCGCAAAACATGCCTAAATTATGTTTTTACTGTCATTATGAAACCAAGACATAATCCACACAACATGTTTAATATCCAGATTGGATTGCCTCTTCAGCTCGAAGTGAAGAGCACCTTCCAACCAACTGCGCTCCACTTTGTGGTATGTTTGGACAAACAATAAATCTGTGAATAAATAAAC